AGTCCCTTACTCTCTTTTAAGACTGTTCCTGTTGAGGAACTGATAAGTGAGAAGAGCAAAGCACTTTTACCTGTCTACTGTGCTAGTTCTGTGTAAGAAATACAGCCATTCCTCAGTATCCATGGGGGATAGTCCTTGATGCTCCAGTCCCTTTTATACAATTGCATTTGCATATAACCTGTGCACATCTTTCTGTTCTGTATACTTTAAATTGCCTCTAGGTTACTTATACTACCAAATACAATGCAAATGCTACCCTGCTAGTTGTTACAGTATTCTATGTTGGCAATAAGGACAAGAAAAAAAAAAAAAAAGACTACATGCTCCATATAGATGCAACTTTTTTCTGAATATTTTTAAGGCCTGGTTGGTAGAATCTGAGGCTGCAGAACCCATCAAAGTTCACAATGTACCAAAGGCTGACTGTACTTGGGTCTGCTCATTTGTGCATATGAAGCAGAAAGGATAAAGCAGAAACTGGTGATTGGCTTACTATAGGAGGTGAGTGGGAGTCGGGGGAGGAAGGAGGAATAGGGTCAGGGTTGAAGGCTTGGGGGGGGTGATACTACTACTGGTTTACCTTTTTTGAATAACTGACTTTTCATTGCCATTTATATTTTGTATATTCAAAATACTCTTTTTACCAGAGTGGGTAAAAGTCAATATGCATGATATGCCTTTAGGAAAAAACAACACTTCTCTGCATCATGATGGTGATGAGAATGGTCACCAAAAAATGGGGAATATCTGTGGGTTCTGATGTGGCTCAGTGGTACAGTATATACTGAGCATGTACAAGGGCCCGGGTTCAATTTCCCGGCATTCTCATCCCAAATAGGGAGAGGTCATAGCTTTTAATCTTCTGACACTTAAGGAATCTGCTATCAACTCTGAAATTGAGCTCTTCCCAATCTAGAAAGGGTGGAAAGGCATGGTTTGCTCATCTCTGGAGATCTCGAGAAGAGAATAGACACACAGTAAAGGACAGGAAGATGGGAGTGACCTTTCAGGGCTGTAGGACATCATAAGGCTGGATCTAGTATGTGGCAAAGCAGGTGGTTTGCCTCTGAATCTTGCATTCTCATTTCCTGCCTTCTCTTCACTCCAGAGACCTCCACATTCAATTTCCTCAACCTGTCTCCATGCCCGGTTACCTCTGATAAGTCAGAAGGCAGGAGTCAAAGAATAATCTTAAGTCCATGATAGTGCATGGAAGTCTTGACAGTTCAAACACATCTGGTGACATAGACAGCGCTTTTTAAAGAAATGGTTATAATCACCTCTGGAAAAGGAGCTGGACAGATTCAACTCCAGTATTTATAATATGTAATAAATGTAGCCCACTGGAGTAGTTCAAGTCAGCCTGTTGGCATGAAGAAAAATCCTGAGTCAACTTGACTTTGCTTCTCCCTCTCCATAATGTTGGAATGCACATAGTGAGATCCTGGGCAAAAAGATCCAGATCAGAGAAGACTGAGCACCAGTATCTGGTAAGGATCCAAATAGGTTATTGGGTTATTAAAGTTCTGGTCCAACCCCAGTTTCCCCTAAATCGACAATATCATTTATTGGTTAATTTGCACTCATTTCTTGGCCCCTGAAGCCATCAGGCTACCTTGTAACCCATTTCCAGAGCACAAATCCCCTTCCTGGGTGTCTCTAAAACACAGGTGGCCCCTATATTCACATTAATTAGCACTGGAAAAGAGAAACAATGACTTGTTGAGACATTCACCCTATGGTGCTTTTGCCATTCCATTCCATTCCATTCTTTTTTTTTAGCGGTGATATCTATCAGTCTATCAGTTGGGTTAAATTTTTGATTTCTAATGAATCAATTCCATTCACATCACCCTTTATTAAAAATCACAAGTGGATTTATATTACAAATCTACTACTTTTACTGAGACTTAGTAGGCTTATCTTTAGATCTTTAAAGATTCTTAGATATTCAGCAGTGAGAAATGGCTGGCTCACTTATTGACTATGCAATTCAAGAGCAAATTCTGGAGAAGTCATGTGAAGTAACATGTATCTTTCTTCTTCAAAATCTTCATAATGTTTTGTGTACATCACAAAACACTTTTCTTTAGCTCCAAGCTCTTGAAAACCAGTAAGTGTTATATAAAGTTGTAACTACAGCTCATCTGAGTCCAGTTTTTTAATGAGCCATGTGTTATGATAAACAAATAATGAAGTGCCTATCTTGCTTCTGGCAAGGATATTAACAATTTACATGTGAGGTTTCATAACTCCTACAGGGAAGAATTTAGGAGAAGAAAAAGATTCCACATCTTGACATGAAAATGGGAAACGCCTGTTAACAAAAATTGCATATGTGGAAAGGATATGGGGGCGACTTGACTCAGAGCAGGAAAGAAGAAAAACTGATTTAAATACCAGTAGTTGGGTTTAAAGCCAAGAAAGGAGTGTGTGTGTGTGTGTGTGTAGGGGGGAAGAGATGAACTCACAGATAACAGACGTATTTTTTTAAATCTTTTGTTCAATTTGTTTTGGTGGTTTGAGGATTGAACCAAGGGCTCTGTGCATGCTAAACACACCCTTACCACTGAGCTATCCCACCCCCAGTTCTAGCAGAAGTAGTCACACAGCCAGATGCTGTGTGAGTATCTTCATACCAAGGTCCCTGGTTATTTCTGTCCCTTAATCCTACAGAACAAAACTACTGTTCTCTGGACTTTAGTGTTGGAGTTTTCTGTGAGATAAAGCCTTATCTTAGGTGTACTCTGAGTTAACAAAAGACCGGTTTTATGAACCTCTGACTTTAGTGTGACTGAAGCTCTGTGCCAAACCTTGTTGCCACCTGACTTCATTTATGGAAAAACCCAATCCAAGGGGTTAAATGAGTAGCAATTTCTCTAGAGAACCAGGCTGGAGCTGACACACTTGGTTTTTGCCAATGGTGGATATGAGGCATTGCCCTACTTTAGAAAAATGCTTTTCCCCCTTCTTTAGAAAAATGCTTCTAGGGTATTACTCAATGTCTTCAATAAGGATTTATTTACAAATTTCCTTTAGAACCAAGAACTGGGCAAAGGTTTATTCCTCCTATGAGTTGTTCCCTAAAATTACACGAAAAAGAATTCTGCAACCCAATTTCTTTTTTTCTAGGTTGGTGGACAACTTGGAAGTAAGTTTAATTACCTTCATTCTTCACAATCAGAATTTCTTGCTATAGTTTGTTCTTTTTACCACCTTTTTGCTTCATTTTTGGACCTAAAATTGTCTGCACAACCTCTATTTTTTTTTTTTTCTGAAGTGGGTGGCATATTTAAAAGGTACAATTAATTCAGGGATTAAAAATATGCCTCCTGAGACACATTTCCAAACGGTACTGCACTCCCCAGGCAAAGTGCTTGTTTACTCCCTCTCCATTGTTTATTTATTTGAAGCAATAAAGGACAAGAAAGCAAAAGACAGAAAACCAAGGGCAGACGGTTTGCTTGGAAAATTCCAGCAACAAACAACTGACAAAATAACACCCCCTGAAACAGATAGATCCTACAGAGAAATATGATTTCCTTGTTCAAAGACTTTCTTTTCTGTGTACATAGTTGAGAGCTGGTTGTAGCCAGCTGTTTCCTCAATACTCAGGCAAAAACTGAAATTACAAATGTGCCCCCAGGTGCTGTCTTCACAGATGCATGGAAATGTGTTGTGTTATGTGGAGTCAGAGGCCAGAAGGTAGAGCTTGCAGAAGTAGAATTAATATGGAGGAGGGGACCTCGGTGAGTTCCCCATCCTGGCTGGTTGCTAAACACATTCCCAGATTTCTTAGACACCTATTAAGATCTTTGCATTTGCTTTAAATTTTCCATAGTCATTAACAAGGTCTTAGAAATTAATTAGCTCAGTATTTGGAAGATTACCCTTTAGGTAGAAATCCAAGAATCTTGGGGCTGTTTCCCTTCCAATGAGTGGTTTGTGTGTGTGCCTGGTTTGAAGGAGGAAAGATTTGCTGCCTCCCAATCCTGTGCCTTTTTAAAGGCAAAGGAACAAATATTGGCCTCAGTAAACAGCAGGTGCCATTAAATACATTAAATGGGTTTTTGGCAAAGGAGCTCTGAGACAGCTTAGAACAACAGAGAGCACTGGCTGGGATTTACACCCTGAGTTCCATCTTGCACTGGTATCTGGCACAGTGGGAACAGTAAGCTGCTTGCCACTCAGCACCCCAGTCATTCTCCAGTCTGGAGAGGCTGATCCTGCAGACTGCATCACACAGCTCCCTTGCTGTCTGGCATCCCAGTGGTTAGAACCTGGGGATGACAGGTGGGAACCAACCAGGGAGACGGAGCAATTAATTCTCCTGCTCTTCCATTTCTGACTGGAGAGACCTCAGTGCAAATACCTCTTGTAGGTGGCTTGGGTTGTGCAGTCCTAGTCGTTTCTCTACACATCAATCTTTGATTTCTTAACCCTGCCCAGGCCTTGCTAAGTGGTCCTCTGTTAAGGTCTTTTCATTTAAAGCATCTGAAGTGGAGCAAGTTGGAGAAAGGTTTGGAGTAGTGAGGTTTAATTCCAAACGACTAGGATCTCGCCAGCCATATTGGATTCTTCCTAGGAGGATGCTGGGTGGGACAAAAAGCAGGGACTAATTGGTACCACCTCCTCCAGGCCTCAGTTGACTGCTGGTCTATTTCATGAGAAGTGCAAGACCAAGTGCACTGCAAGCAAGCCTCTCTACTGTTGCAGAATTTTAAAATTACTTTTATGCACCAAAGACATTAGTGCACTCAGACACTTGGGAATAAAAGAAGTTGCTCATGATTACTCCAAAGCTTATTTGTTTTTTAATAGAAGGTTTTGGTTTTCTTTTTTTATTGTTGTTTTTAAATAACAATTTGACAAGAGGTTGAAGAGATTTCACAACGAGGGAGTGAGCCCAGAGGTCCAGGCTTCATTCTGTTGGCAGAATTGTCCTCACGACCTTGCATGGGGCTAGAAATAAACATAATTACAAGAGAAAAACGGATGGGGCCATAATGGGCAATGGCATCCTTAGTCTTTCATATTTATATATTATATATAGATATATATTATATTCAAACATGACAGAACCATTTCCCAGGGAGACAATGATGTTTCCAAGGCAAGGCAAGGGGATGGGGAAGCTGCCAAAGTGCAGGCTCAGGGGCTTCCCTCAGAGAAGCTGCAGGAGCTTCAGGGACTGTAAGAGGGCTCCCGGCTCTGCGGACGCCAGGTACTGGCAGCAAAGCCAGTCCTCCAGCTCCACTCCCCTTCTGCGGTCCACCGCCTTCTCCGCAAACTTCATCATCATCAGGGCCCGCTTCATGTCGATCCAGTTGTGCAGCGTGCTACACAGCGCCTCCTCCGAGGTCCCTGGCTGCTCCACCAGCTCCCGCCGGGGTCCCCACAGCAAGCACTGCAGCACGCGCTTGGCCTCGCCTATGCGGATGCGCTTGATGGGGTCTGCCTGGAGCAGCAGATGGGCCAGCTGCTGCAGGCCGGGCGAGTAGAGGGACAGGGTGGGTAGCGGGGGTAGGTCCTCCCGCCGGTAGTCCTGCTCCCGCAGCTGGGCCCGCACCTCAAATGGGTTGGGCTGGTGCAGTAGCTCATAGATGAGGATGCCAGTCTGGAACTCATCGAACTTGCGGTACTGGGAGGCAGACACAATCTCAGGGGCCAGCCGGGCCTGGCTCTTCTTCTGCTGTAGGTTGGTGGTGCCACCCGGTTTCTGCTTGGCCTTCAGGAAGTTGCTGATGATAAGCCTGGGTAACTCTTTCTTACCGGGCACGGTCTGACAGGCAGGGGCAGCTGTAGCACTGGGAGTGACGTTGGTGGCAGAGGAGTTAGGGAGTGTGACAATGGGAGGGGTGGGGGCAGCAGAGGAGGGTCTTGGGGAGCTCTGAGGGCTACAGTGCACCAGCAACAAGTTCTCCAGGCACAGGTCCCGATGGATGATCCCATGCTCCTTCAGATGCTCCAGCCCATTGCACAGTTGCAGAAGCAGGAAGCACACGCGCCTCTCGTAAACCTCAGGCTCAGCCTGATGGCTAGCGGCTGAGTCCCGCACAAAGTCGGAGGCCGTCTGGTGGGGCACCTCTCGGGTGATGACCACAACGCAGTCTTGCTCCTGGGCAGGGGGTTGTGAGGGAGGAACAGGCAGAAGATCCTTGGAGGGGTCAGGGGAGGTCAGCATGCTGGAGGGCACAGAGGCCACAAAGTGGCCACAGTCCTGCTGGATATTGAAATGCACAGGCACAGAGGGGCTGCAGTATGAAGCTGTTTTGGGCTCAGGGGTTTTGCAAATCTGTGGAGAGAAGGAGAAGTGAGGTCAAGAGGGGGGTACTTGGAGGAGGGGGAAGGGTGAAGGAAGGAGATTAAGGTAATGGTATATGGTTGATGGACTTCACATACCTATATGAAACAGAACTAAGAAATCTCTTCCAAGTGCTTTGGGTGGGGGGTTGAGGGGGAGAGACAATGGGGGAAATGTAAATATATACAATGTAAGTCTAATTGGAATTGTCACTTAGAATTCCCCCCCTGTATAATGAATATATCCTAATAAAAAACTTTGATATAAAAAAAAGTGACTAAATAAGGATAAATGAGAATCTGAAAAAAAAAAGTGAGATTCATGGTTGTGTTCAACAGATATTGGAATATTTGGTATACACATGGAAAAAGTACACTTTATCCTTTACCTAGCACCCTATATAAAATGAGATCAAATAGACTTACAAATTTTAGCAAAAAACATTTCAGAAGAAACATGAAAGGATCCTTGAGACCTTGGCAATGATTTCTTAGATACCTCATCAAAAGCATGGTCTATAGCCCATAAGCAAATGAAAAGGTGCTGATCGTCATTGTATATTACAGGTAACTTAATCCTTGAATGGAAACATTAAGGAAATGCAAATCTACAGTACAAGGAGATAGCAGCTCCCACTCATTAGAACCACGAGGGTATACAGGAATGAGAACCATCACACATTGCTGGTGTGAATGGAAAATAATGCAGCTACTTTGAAATAGTTTGGCAATTTCTTAAAAGTTAAACATAAAATGACCACATGATCCAGTCACAGTGGGGCCCTACAGTGTGACACGATATCGTACTAAGGTAGCCCTCTGTCCACAGAGCAGACTGGACAAATTTTCACAAAGTCAGAGTTTTGAAAGAATCAACCTCACTCCCAGTCAGTCCTCTCACCTGAAACAGGGGCTACCTGAGAGCAAATGTGCCACACTTCTGGGATGCTCCCTTGGTAGGGAATGTCAGGGGCAGATGCAGGCCCTAAATCTTGAGGACTTTGCCATGTTCTCTTAGGCTGACTTAGGTTCTAGATCCAGGCAAATCTGTAATGCCTACTTGCTGGCCTACTTGCTGGCATGACCTGCAGGACCAACTCCAGGGATGCTGCTGTGATGAATCGAAGCAGCTGAAAGAAACCAGCAAACTCTGCCATCTACCCAGCTGCCATTCAGCTGGAGAGTCTTGGGTCAGCCCTGAAGTCTCTCTCTCTCTCTCCCTCATGCAGATTCGGCAAGGAAATGGACTTGGGTTTAAATATCAGCTTTGTAAACTTTGGGAAGTTACAGGAGTTTCCTTATTTCAAGTATTTATGTTCTATTAAGTAAATGCAAATACTGAATTAGCAAATATGCATGCTTTATAGAGGCAAGGATCAGTGTGCAATCCAGGGAAGAAAGGCACCTCACAATTGCCAATAAAATACCAACCAGCAAACAATCCCCAAAGAAGCTTTGCTTTGGGCTGTTGCAGGGGAATGATTTTAGCAGTGTTTATACCGCAAGGCTTTCACTGATGTTTTCAGAAGTTCTGCTGCAAGCACCTTTTCACAGAGATTTCTTTATATTGCAGCTACACAAACCTTTCAGTGTAAAACCTGGCATCAAAGAGATTAGCCTCTGAGGAACGTTTTTTTAAAGCTAAAAGAGGGGAGGGAGTGGGTAACACATTAATTTAGTAATCTCTATTATGGAAGCAGAATAGAAATAAAAGGGAAGTATATACTCCAGGCATGGCTTTCTATGACAATAACAAAAATTATCTTAAAATACATGTCTAAATGCTATTGTTTCAGGCTTTACCACTCAACTTTGCACAGGACTTTTCTTTTTTTTTTTTTTTTTTTGTGGTATTGGGGTTTGAACTCAGTGCCTCGAACTTGCTAGGCAAGCACTCTACCACTTGGGCCATGACCCACTTCCTTTTGGCTTGCTATTTTTTTTTTTGATAGGAACTCTGGCTTTTGCCACGGCTGGTCATGGACAGTGGTTATCTTACCTACCTCTGCATCCTCAATAACTAGGATTACAGAAATATACCACCACGAAGGGCTTGTTTTTTGAAATAGGGTCTACTAACTTTTTGGGTGGCCTAGGCTGGCCTTGAACCATGATCCTTCTATTGTTGGAATCACTGATGAATCTAATCATAAGATTTTGCTTCCTGTGCTCTGATGAGAAACAATCCAAGCTGAACACATGGATGCAGTGGGAGAAATAATGGTGTTTTATTGTGGGAAAGAGGGAAGGAGATTAAAGGTGGGATCACCTGCCAGGTGGAATGGAGGTGCCACGTGTAGGAAAAAGAGAATTTTATTTGAGGTTGTTTTTATATCATTCTTAACTTGGAAGTAGGGAGAAAACCCGCCTCACTCACAGACTCCAAAAAGCCTTTGGGCTATGGGGTGGGGGGGATGGTGGGGAGATAGGGGGCAGGAGAGAGGATCTGGTAAGACTGAGCATACACCTATGCTAATTCTCAGGTACCCTAAGTCTATGCAGGAGGAAATTTCCATTCTCTCTAACTTAACAAAGGATTTGCAATTGAAATGGAGTTCTCTGGGCTCAGAGGGAATGGGTGAAGGATGGGTCTCTGGGGTGCTCTAAATCAAGCTGTATGGTTTTTAAAAGTCCTGAACTAACCCCTAACTCCTAGCCTGCCTCACTTCTAGTAGGAGAGCTGAAACAAGACTTAGGACAGCTCCTTGTTCCCTTTCACTGGAAAACATGCACAGCAGGTGGGCAGCTCAGATTCTTCCCTGCCCTGTAACTGTCCGCGAAGGCCTGGAAAATGCTTTGAGTATCGATTTGTGAGTTAGAAATAAATTTTAGTGGGTAGATGATTTTGCAAACAGGGAATAGAAGAATGATGAGGATCATGGAATTTATCCTCAAAGTCTCTTTTCTCTTTCACTGGGCAGTGTAGTCCTGAGGCTATCATTAGATTAAATAATAGTGCAGGTATGGCTTTTGGCACCAGGTGTAGCCCATGGTAAGTGCTCCATGGGAAACGTTGCTATGGAGACTGCTCTTGACATTTCAGCTGCAGCCATGTGGTGGTGCTGGGCCATCCTGAGCTGGCTGGCAGGTATTGTGCAACCCTCAGAGCACAGCTGCCAGGACTTGGGGAGGGTTTCCAACACCCCCTTTCCTCCAATGTGTGAAAGGTCTGGGACGGCAAACACTGCAGCCCAGAGCTCCAGTTCAGCTCCTGACATTTCACACAGATATGTAAATGAAGGAGCAGAGTAAATGACAACTGGGTTGGATGCATTTCAAAATCAGTGAGCAGGGCCTCTGGGAAAGCCCACAGTTTCTGCACTACTGAAGGGTGCTTGGCGGGTGCATACAACCATCCCGTGAGCCCTGGACAGATGTTCTGAGATCATCCTACGGTGTTAGGTACAGAGAGAGGGGCTGCTTCCTTCCACACCCATCTGCCCATCTCATTTCCAGGGGCCCATGTCCTAGGTTTTGGCTCTAGAACGTAGCATAGACCTTGGCTGAGCTCAAGTTTTAAACCTTTTGCGGAGCCAAGTTTCATTTTAAGCTTTGGAGCCAGTACCTCATTCATGAGTGAAAATCTGGGCTAAGTCACATCTGTTACATAAAAAAGGCCCAGGGGCTTAGCGCAGGTCCCTAATTATGAACTGGAGTTAGATGGCTGGGAGATGAAACAGCTCCAAAAATTCACACAGCCTAATGATTTTTTCCCTTGTCTGCTACGTAATCAGAGTCAGGCTACAAGAGCTGGCTTTATTTCTTTACTGCTGCAGGTCGCTGAGCCCAGGATTGGTGGATCCAGCTTTGCAGCTAGCAGGTGCAAGCCTGCTATTGTTCACTGGGACTCCACAGCAAAGCTGCAGCTGACTTCAGTGTTCACTTCCTGCTTAACATGCACTGACGAAATGGGCTGTGGGACACACAGGCTGGCACTGGAGAAGAGCCCCACTCCCCCTCCTGTTGGCTCCCAGATGACTGTATTCCGTCTAGACTGGAGCGCTAATGAGGTGGAACAGCTGCACGTGTGAAATGATGTTCACGACCCCCATCCCACCCTCAATTACCAGGCCAGGCACATTTGCAAATTGATGTTATCTTTCCTGGTAATCTTGCTCGGAGCATGTGATGCTGTTCTCCAAACTTCCTTTCCACATGGTACAGTGAGGGTCTTTGAGGTACCAAGTCTCCAGGAAAGTCAAATATGATACACCTGGGGTTTCTTTGCTTTGGAATCCAAGGCTTACCTCTGGTTTCTAGACTTCTAATAAAATAAGAAGCAATGCTTGTTGTTACATCCTCTGGGAAAGCTGGAATTCTTTGCATTGTGCATTGGGGAACTTTGCTACTTCTACATTATATGAGGCTCTAGAGTCTGAGGTGCACAGCATATTCTGAGTTATGGATATCAAACAAACCTCATTGCCACGAGGCTCAGATTCAGTGGCAGGGCCAGGTATCTTATGCCAGGTGGCCCAGCCCCTCCTTCCTTCCTGCCATAAAGCCAATCACTTTCTAGCTCAAGGCAGAAGTGAATCAAGTCTCCTCCACCAGACTTTTTCCTTCTCAAAATGGAGAGGTCACCTGTTCCTCAAGATTGAATGAGACCCCCAGGTTAGCACCAAGAGATAAGGTGCAAGTGCCCAATGCACGTAAGCAAAGGACAGGTAGGTTCAAGATGGAAGTGGAAGGACGATTCACAGGGTCTGTTCTCGTATCACTGGGATAAGGGGAAGGAAAGAACCTCCTAAGTACACCTCCATCCCCTCCACTCTCGAGGAGCCCAAATAACCCTGGCTCTGGACCCATGTGATAACTCTAGACATTTAATTCATCTTACTAAGCTTGCTGGAGGGTCCAATCACTTCTCTACAGATGGTCCCTTTCTTAGAAGGGTTCCACATTTGTTTTTGGTTTACAATGGTGCAAAAGCAATATGCATACAATGGAAACTCTATTTCAAATTTTGACTTCTGTCTTTTCCTGGGCTGTGGTAAGGATCCATGCCTGAGATGCCCAGCAATGGTAGGGAGTCACAGTCCAGTCAATCACACAGTCATGAGGGGAAACAATAGAGATTTGGCTATGCACTCTTCCACTAAGCAAGGCCATTCCATAGGGTAGGGACATTCAATGCATTTTCAACTCTCCATATTTTCAACTTTCAATGGCTTTATTTGACTGAGTCCCACCGTAAGCTGAAGAGTAGCTGTACTGACTACAGCACCATCTTAACAGGAAGGGAAGTTCTGGGGCTTCTTTTTGTTACTTTGGCTGGGGAGGGGCAGTGAAGTACAGCTAAAATCATAGAAGCAATAAAGTCCAAGAATGATTGTGTAGAATCTCTCCCAGGATGTTTGCTTCTAGTTCCTGCTGTGTTGACCACCCACCTAGGCCTTCTGGAGCTTTTGCACAGAAGGGAAACTAGAGACACCCCTTAAACATATCCTTCAGGGTTCTCAATCGATATTATGGTGATGTCATGAAGTTCTTAAAAAGACAAATCTCAAAACAAAATTCACTATAATTTCCTTGGCTATTAATCATTCTATTTAAAAAAAAATTTTTTTCCTGCTTAGCAAGCTGCCTACCAAAATTATTTCAAATTACTTCACTCTGTATTTTCCTAACTGGAAAACACACACACACACAAACCAAATGTTTGGGTCAGGTAATGGCGGAAGAGAGCTCAGGTCCCCCTCTTCTCTCTTCACAAAAGCCTGAATTTACAAAAGGACCATGAACCCACCAGAAGTTTGAGGAATATCAAAAGAAGATGGGAAAGAGGACCAAAGAGGGATCGTAGTCCACAGAGAGACCACAGTGACTAAAATGGGTACAGAAGCTTCCACCTGCTCCCTCAGAGCCACACTCAGAGATAGCAGTAGGGTGTGGTACCAACAGCCATGATCCATCATCAGATTAAAAATCTGTATTACCTTTGGTGAGTCACTGAACTTCTCTGAACTTCATTAGCATAAGTGTTGGAGACAGACAAACCAGGATGGAACTCTATTTCAGGTACTAACTAGCAGTGGGCAATTTAACCACTGTAAGCTTCAGATTTCTCATCTGTAAAACCAACCCACCCTGAAGAACTAGGAATACACGTCACATAGTTAATACACCCAGCTAAGAGTCTAATTGTATAGTAAAATCTCAATACATGTTATCATCACTCTTATTGTTCAATACTGATGCCTAGGTCTAATTTTCCTTCTAGCTCTAACACTTGAAGAATAGTATCTTAGTTTTCCCATCTCCCTTAATATATTATAAACGCCATAAAGAATCATATGTTCATCCTTACACCTTCAGATCGCCACAAAATACCTGGCATAGAGTAGAGCACTCAGTAAACACTTGCTGAATAAACCACCTCTGCTGCATTAAAGAATAATTGTTTCAGCTGGATTGAGTGGCTCATTCCTGTTATTCCAACTACTTGGGGAAGGGAAATCTAGAGGATTGACGTTCAAGGTCAAAATGTTAGTGAGACTCCATCTCAACCGATGGCTTGGTATGGTGGTCCATGTCTTTCATCCTAGTTCCTCCAGAAGCATAAATAAGAGGATTGCAGTCCATAAGGCCCAGGCATAATGCAAAACCCTGTCCCAAAAATAACCAAAGCAAAAGGGCTGGTAGAGTGCCTCAAGAAGTAGAGTGCCTGCCTAGTAAGCAGGAGGCCCTGTGTTCAAACTCTAGTACTGACAAAACACCAGTTGTTTTCCTATTGAAACTAGATCGCCTAAGTTCATCACTGAAAACACAGTTCACAACTCATGCTACAAATCACATCTTGCCATGCTGACAGTAAAATTGTTGAACATGATGTTAAAAGGGAGTTTAGGAACCAACTTTCTCCCTAAGCCTAGAGAGCTGAAATGACTCACACCAGTATCAGTGAGTCATGTGCAGAATGGAAGGAGGGGGGTAGTACCTACTTTCACAGCATAGGTGCTGCCAGGGTCCTCAGAGCAGGTGGCACAGTAATAAATGGCATCTCCGGAGTCACAGCAGGGTTTGTTACAAGTCAGTTTGAAGAGCGACCAGTTGTTCTCGTTGAAGTGCAGCTCCTTTTTCTGGCCACCCATGAAAAGGTCCTCACACTTGGCTACCAGGCGGGCCAGGGACTGTGTGTAGAGGCCCCCTAGCTTGGCATAGGTGCCCTCCTTACTGCTGATGCTGTTTAGGAGGCTGTGTAGCTGAAGCTGGGTGCTGCCTGAGGAAGCCTGGCTGGCCACGCTCAGCTGGGAGGACGAAGTGGCTGAAGCCATTTTGCATTGGAAGTTGGGGCTCCTGCAGCCACTTTTGCTGCCTGCCAGTCCTGGGGCTGGGACCCAGTGGCCATTGCCTTTGAAAGTTTTTTCCAGAGGCTCAGAAGAGGAGAAGACATGGTGGGGGTGGTTCCCAGAGCTCAAGGAATAGCTAAAGGGAGACTCGTCATGGACACAGACATTGGTTTCTGAGTGGCTTAGGTTCAGCTTGGGGCTTGTGGTTCGTGGCTTGGGGGAGCCTTGAGTCCAGAAGAAGCCATCAGGTGAAGAGGCTGCCCGGCTCACTAACTTCTTCTGGGGAAGGGGAGGGGGCTGTGCAGGGCCACTGGGGTACACATCTTCAGTGGAGCCCGAAGGAAATGGGACAGGGGCAAAGAACTTCTTCCTGTTGATGGTGGGTGAGTGGGCTGCCTCATAGGATGGACCTGTAAAAGAGAAGCAGAAACTGTCAGGCTAGAGGTCAATGCCACTCAGGTCAAGTTCCTGCAGGCATTTTTTTTTTTTTTTTTGTCAAAGCAATTCGTCTTACTTTGAATAATGATACATGCACAGTGGACAGAATTCAAAATGCAAAAAAGGCATACATTGACCTTTAAGCCTTCCTTTTACTCTGTCCCTTAGCACCAGAGGACACCACTGCCAGTAATTTCTCATGCATAGCTCCAATAACCCAAATACATGTGTATGCACCTGCATGTGTGTGTGTATGCACACACTTACACAAGACAGCAAATGACTCCCACTGCTCAGAATACTGCTTTTCTTTAAGCAACTACACCATAATATATCATCATAACTTAACTAGTCCCCTGTTGATGGACACTTAGGTTGCTTCCAGTGTTTGCAAACAATCCTGCAACAGCAATAATGAACTTGGGTGCATGTTTTTTAAAAAAGTCAGGTTTGTACAGTGTATAATTTACCTAGAATAAAATCACTCCTTCTTTGTTGTGGTTCTTTAGGTTTTCACAAACACCTTGTTAGCTAGCTTAGGGACAGGGCAGATCCATAGATATTTTAGAAGGCAGGGTACATGATTTTATAAATGAGGAAACAGATCTAAGGGAAAGTGAGTCTTTCCAAGGTCCCAGGGGTCCCAAAGAGGGGAGCATGGATACTGAATATAATTGGAGGGAGGTTTTCTTCAGGGCCATAGGTCTCTGCAGAGCATGGGAACATTCAAATAATGTGTGTAGGCAGCACACAGATGTTAAAATGCAGTGCTGGTTTATACAAGGTGAGGGCTGAATCATGTTCTTTGTATCCACATACAAAATGGAGATTTCATAATGAAACAAGAATTTAAGTTAAACACATATAGAGAAAACTGGGCACAATGGGGCATGACTGGAATCCCAGCTACTCATGAGGGAGAGACAAGAGGATGGAAAGTTTAAAGACAACCATGCCAAAGTTAATGAGACCCTGTCTCAAAAACAAAATACAAATAAAAAGGGGGTTGGGAGTATGGCTCAAGCAGTAGAGTACTTGCTTAGCATTCAGGAGGCCCTCCATTTAATCTCCAGTACCACAATAAAAAAAAAATTAAGATATACATATCAAAGAGATGTGAACAATTGGAGAAAGAAAGGGCAAATGATACTCGGCTCCATTGTTCAAATAATTGATTTAAAAATGTCTCTACTATTTTAATTGACTTTAAGATGTCTTCAGCTTTTAAGGGAATGAAAGAAATGTTAACTACTTTCCTATGTTGTAAAATGCAACCTATTATCCTGAAGGTTAAAATGTTAAAAAAAAAATAATTAGGATTTTGGAGTCAAGGATATGGTTCTTTACTATGTGTACCCTTCATTTAGTCCACTGCACTGTGTCACCTGAAAAGCAAAGCCTATACTGACCTCTCCAGTGAGAGCTGAATGAAAACAGCACAACCAACACTTAGGCCTGAGGCAAGGGGTAAAGAGCTCCATGGGAAGCCTGTGACCTTCCTGGGGCTTTTCCTAAACAGGTCAATCTCGAGCTCTTCTTGCTTTCTCTGAGCCATAAGAAGAGGATGGGCCCCTGAGGGAGGCACAAACACCAGTGCCAGGCCCCTCAGATCAGTGCTGAGTCTTCCCCTGTCTGATGCTCCATGGGGAGGGGGCTATGAACCATATCCTCTGTGCTCACCTGGCCCTGGAGCAGGAGGTGGCAGCACTGACATCTCTGCCCCAGCCTCACTGACCAGGACAACAATCAGTGTGTGACAGCAGGAGCCTTCTGCTCAGTGCAGCCCCAAAATGCAAAGCTCACAGGAGGACAAAGCAGGTGCATGCAGCCCATTGGACACAAGAACTGAGACGCGGCAGGCTCTGCAAAGAGGAACCTCTTGCAGCCAAGCAAGGCTGTCGGGCACCACACCACACCCTTGTATCTCAGTGGACCCAGGAAAGGGCACATTGCTCTCACACACTTCCAGCATGAAGTAGCAATTGCTCTTGGTTCCCAGGGATTTATCAAGATCATCCTCACCTCACCCTGCTTTGCGAATGGCAGGCGGGGTTCTTGCCAGCGAGGCTGAGTGAGTGATTTATGTCCCTTCCAGGAGGGCTCAGGTTAATAATAAATCGAGCAGTAGCTGCACAGCTGAGACCAGTCAGCTTTACAAGTCTAGGAATTTTCACCTCTTAGAGCAGAGGGTGTTCAAGAAACAGCCAGTCAGAGGCAGGAGACCCTGCTGGCCACTAACCACAGTGGGCTTTGCATCCCTGAAGTTCACAGGTCTACTCTTCCACACTCCCCAGGAAAGCAACTCGGCTCCCAAGGGCTTGGCTAGCAACTGGCACAGACAATGGCAAAAGAGGCTGAGAAAGGAGGATCATTTCCTGGCTCCTTGGCTAAAAAAGCCAGGGGCAAAACACCTACCCATGAGATTCTCCTAGCCAGAAGGCTTCTGCCACCAACTCCCTAGACTGCTGAGCAAGAAAGTGCTGGCCCTCCCTACTTCTCTGCCATCTGCACAGAAGAAATTACCACCGCGGACATGTCTGAATCTCAATTTGTTGTCACCAGGGCTGGAGGTGGGGCTGTAGTGGAGAGGAATCTAAACACTTGGTCTGTGATTTTTTTTTTTTCTTTTTTATGGCAGTATTGGGATTTTATCTCAGGACCTCGCCCTTGTTAGATAGATGTTCTACCACTTGGGTCATGCTCTCAGCCCTTTCTGCTTTAGTTTATTTTTCAGATAAGTTCTCACACTTTAGCCTGAGGCTGTTCTCAGACCCTAGTCCTCCTATTTCTATCTCCCAGATAGCTGGATACAGGCATGTGCCACCATGCCCAGCTTGTTTTTTGAAGTAGTTTTGTCAACTTTTGCCTGGGCTGACCTGGAACCACAATCCTCCCATCTCCACCTCCTTACTGGTCTGTGCTCTAATCAACACTTCCAGGGACAGCCTGCCTGGGGGTCAGTACTCCTTTCTTGTCCTCAGTAGCACCTGCAGGGGAAGGAGGTTGTCTTGGCCAGTCCCTTCCTTAAGTCTTGCGCTGATTTCCCCATCTTTATTGGTTTTTCCCTCTTTGTCTTTAACATCAACTTTTTGGAAGCTGCCAGTGTGCCCCTTCATGCTTCCATGAGCCTGAAGGGTCACAGCCAACCGAGCAACAAATCCCTAACATGCTGGCTTAGTCCAGTTGTGTGTTCTTATTTAAAATTAGGACCAGATTGCATCATTGGGAAGGCCCCTTCCAGCACTAACAGCCTATAATTTCAGCCACATGGAGCTTTCAACTTCTCTGGATATTACATTTTGTCTGAGAGCTACCTCTGAAGTAAAATACTTCTAGGCAGATGATTCTTTTGCTTCCACTCATGCTCCCTCCATCTCTAGCTCCCATAGCTACCCATTGGTAAATGTTCTGATCTAAGGATAGCAGGAATCTTGGGAAAAAACAATCCATCACACTGCTCATTTGCTAGATCACAAGTCTGCCATAGACCTTAGGGTAGGGCCTGGCACAGAAACTGTATTTGGGCAGCTGGGAGAAGGGATTGTCTCCCTTATCCTCGTTGGTGTTCTTGAGCCTTCCAATGGAACTGAGCTGGTGGGTGATTTTGAGCAGATCTAAACCCTATAACTACTTGGGTAAATCTGGCAGGGGGTACTAGGCATTCGGAGGGAGGTGTAGTTCCAAAGACTGGTAAGTGGGCCAGTTTATTTTTCTTTGCATCTTAGTTTGTTACCCAAAAATCTCTCTGTGATGCCTGTACTGAACAGAGAAGGGCAAAGTATAAGAAATGCTCCCTTATCACACACTTGCTCAGCAGAAGTAAACTCCTACCAACATAAATAATGATTTTCATGTTTTAAAAAAATGCCCAGTTGTATGACAGGCACACCATCTTTCACTCTGATGCTTTCTTCTAAATTTCTGCATTTTTAAGACTCTAGGTATAGAAGGATGAATGGCAAGAAGGCCCAAATTCACTCTGAGAGCTCCAGATTTCCTTCACTTTGCAGATGTTAATCTTCTTAGGGCCACCTTGAAATGGATGCTAACATGTGGCCCTTTTAGAAAAAACTGATTTCTTGACCATGTGACAAGCTGTAGTTGTCTTCTCTGGAATCAGAGGGCACCGACTGCCACTTTCTTTTATGACTCTTACTTGGGGAACTACCTCTTCATAAACATGGCCTTAGGCAATGGAGCAGCTAAATTCTTAGTATTGAGAGCAGCTGCTACATCTAGAAAAGCCAGAAGGAAAAGCAAATGAATATGCCCTTACTCCCAGAATAGTTTCAAAATTCATAGGTAAACCACTGGTTCAGAAAAATCTGTCTTAACAAAAATCCTGAACAACTTTGGCCAACAGCCAAAAGGACTTAGGTCCAAAGGAATATGAAACTAATTCATCTCTATCCTGATTTTATGTTGGTGTTAGGTTATGATCTCCAAATTCTGGCTTATGATTAAGGGTAAAAAAAAGGGGGGTAGGAGGGTAAGAAACTTTCCTGGGAACTGTATTAACATCTTAGTTACATCATTGATAAGTTTCTAATAATTTTTCATATGAACTGAGCCAGAGAGCTCCAAACATCAGTTCTTAAGTTTTTCTTCCAATTTTCAATTTTCCATGTAAAGGAAGAGCCCAATTAGAGAGAATCCTCAGCAATGCTTTAGTGCATGTGTTTCTGAGGAGAGAGGTCTTCACACATGGCACACTGGGTGGGATCTTAAAAAGGTTGAAGGTGGAGAGGAAGGTATAGTACTTTGGGGTCCTTATATCTAAAAAGCAAAGGAGAAATCAAGATTTCAGTGATTGGGAAAAACAGGGTAAGCCCTATGCAGAAATGTAGGGCAAAAGTTCAAACGTGTTACTGTGAGGTTTACCCTAAGATAGAGTCCTCTCTTCTTGCTGGGTTTTAATAGGCACTTTCATTGTTTCTACAGCCGAATGAGAGCTGGGCTTACAGAGGAAGTG